AATCGCAAATGAGGGCGTTTTCGTCAATTTTGTCGATCCCGGAAATCCTCGTCATCTCTCTCCCGGCCGAGTCTCCGTTTAGTTTGCCCCCGTCAAACCGGAAGAAGTTCCGGGCGAGGGTGGGGTCCAGCTCGGTCATACAGATCTCGACGGTGTAGGAATCGTCTACACTCAGGTCCACCGGTGGGCCGTCGACGAAAGCGGTGAAAACATGCCACTTGTGGTTGGATTTGGAGTTCATTGTGGTGGCCTTCTTGTGGGTGAGATTTTTAGGCAAGTTTGCTTCCAAGTAGATGACTTCATTCTTGAAGCTGGTGTGGGGGTAGGGTTGGGCAAGGGGGAAAATGAAGCTGCCGCGGGTGTACCTACACCCGAGTAGGGTGAGGCCCAACGAGATGCCGTGGTCGATGAACGGGCGGACCGACTTGAGGAGTTGGGTGGTCCCGCACGTCTTTATTACGATTTTGGTGGGGTACACGAAGAGGCTCGACTCCGAGAGGACATACGAGTCGAAGTGGGCGTTGCCGACCGCCGAGACAACGGTGCACTGTACCGCGTGCAATATTTTCTCGAGGGAGGGGAAGTCGAGCTGCCGCAGGCCCAAGGCGGCGGGGTCGTCCCCCGAGAAGTGGATTTCGAGCCTCTTCTCGAACCCTTCGAATCCGGAGACTGCCATATATAGATGGATAGGAATTAGCAAGTTTAGAATGTGAAGGAAAATTTTGGATTGGAATGAGAAATTGGTGAATTTTGTGTTGAATGACTAGTGATCGATGTTTGTGAGCTTATATATAGGTGATGTGGGGGGTGGGGGGTGGGGGGTGTCATAAGCATGCTTGTGAGGCAACAAACAATTTTTTTTTAAAAAATAGAAAATAAAAAAGAAAAGGAAAAAATATATTTGCAAGCATAATGAGTGCAAGATGATGGTTACTTTAGTGTGTTGTAAGATTTTTTGAAGACAACAACATGAATCCAAATTCATGATTATCAGCATTCTTGTTTATGGTCATATCTCATGCTCTGTCACACACACGCAAAATATAGGATCATCTTATTTGCAAAACCTCATAGAATTTAAGAATGATTAATGGAAGTTAATTGAAATAATCCAATTAATTTATTCTTGAAAAATGTATTTGTGACAATGATTAGGTGGACTAAATGAATTTTGTGGTTTTATATTTTCTGTTTTTTTTTTTTCTTTTTTTTTCATTTTTTCTGGTTTTTAATTTTTAAGTTTTGATGTCATTTTTACTACTACTATGGTACCCGTGCACAGCACGGCGGGGTTATTTTCTTTAACCTTTTTTTTTTTAAAAAAAAACTTTATTTTAAATATTTTTTTTATAAATTAAAAAACAAAATTCATATATTATTAAACACATTTATATACACAACATTATTGGTTTGATTTTCTTTTAAACCTTCTTCTCCACAAATTAAAATTTTCAGACCCTTTCTGTTAGTAACACGGGAGACAGCGACATATAACTGACCATGACTAAAAACTGGTTTCTTCAAGAATAAGCCAACATGCGATAATGATTGACCTTGACTCTTTTTTATAGTCATTGCGTACGAAACCATAATGGGGAAGTGCCTTCTTTGAAATTTGAATGGTACTCTAACATCAGAAGGAGTTATTGTCATCCGAGGTATCAAAACTTTATCACATACATGATCGCCAGTAAGAATTTTACACTCGAGAACATGATTGGAGAGTTTAGTTACAACCAATCGTGTACCATTGCAGAGTCTCATTGAGTGATCTATATTCCGCAACAACATAACTGGAGTTCCGATCTTCAAATTCAATTCATGGTTCGGCGTTCCAGAACACTTGATAGTGTTCAAGAACTCAGGAGTATGGAGTTGTGCCACAAAGTCGGTATTGGAGTCGGATTTACACGTACTGTCTGAACTTAAATACGTGCGTCCCTCAGTCAAATTTAACGACGACATGTATTCATTAATAGATTCTATGATATCGAGTGTTGGCACAAGTATAGCTCTATCCTTTAAGTAACTTGGATCGTCGGTTGCATTCTTGAACATCGGAAACGTGCTTTCAACAATTTTTGCAATTGGATCATAGATCATTTGGTATGTCTATCAAAGAACATCCATCATTTTTACCCCCCCAATGTTCCATCTTCAATGCTCGCTATCCAATCAGCAAAAGCGGCCAACTCGTCACGTTCATTTGAATCGCCAATGCTCTGAAGACGCGTATTCTTTGTAAGCCTAAGCACAGTACATTCTCCCCAAATGCTAGAAGAGTTAATAGCAGCATTAACAATCTCCTAATGACTCCCCTTTGGAACTGCCGGTAGGATTTGTAGAAAGTCTCCACCAAACACAACAATCTTGCCTCAGAACGGTTTATGATGATTTGTCGGGTCGAAGGCTCCCATTACTGCCTTAAAAGATGCTTGAACAGCTTCAAAACAGTGCTTATGCATCATTGGGGCCTCATCCCACATGATCAATAAAGAGCAAATAATCAACTCGGCAAGGTGGCTAGCCTGATTGATCTCACACGATGAATTTTCATGCACAGAAATAGGAATGCCAAATCGAGAATATTGTGCAGTTCGTCCACCCGGCAACAGGAGAGATGCTATTCCACTTGATGCAACACAAAGCACAATTCGACCGTGCAATCTTAGCCGAGCAGCTAAAGTCCTCCACAAGTATGTCTTTCCAGTTCCACCATAACCATACACAAAAAATACGTTGCCCCTGCCAGAATGAACAGATGTCATTATTTTAGAATAGACACCTTTCTGTTCGTCGGTCATATGTGTCAGCAATGCATCATGCTCAATAGCTTGAGCCATACGGTCATAGTTAAGTTCATCCAAAATCAGACGGTTCGTACTTAAATTAATACTACCCATATCTAGGAAAGACATAGTATAATAGTCATTTATCCCAAACCCAACCTAACTCAACCCGACATAATATTTATTTTACATTTATTTATATATTTATTAAATATTATCTACAATAATTTTTTTGTTATTGTTTTAGTTGCGATATGATAAAATAAAAGGTATGATAAAATTGATAAGTTACAATTAAGAAAAAAGGGAAACAAAAGTATTTTGGTCCTTTATCTGCAGGTCGTTTTCAATTTGGTCCCGTAAATGGACCGTTTTTAGAAATAGTCCCCTAACTGAAAAAAAAAATAGCTTCTTGGTCACAGTGACATGCTACGCCTACGTGGAAATTCATTTTATTTTTTATTTTTTATTTTGCTGACGTGGCACGAGTGGCAAATTATCAAAAAAATTGACCCCAAGAAGATTCGAACACCGCACCTCTCATGCAAAAATAAGGCCGACTAGCCGCTGGACCAACAAGAAAATATGTTAGAAAATTGACTTCAAATATATTTATCTATCAACAATTCAAAATCTTTTTATCAAATAATAATAATAATAATAATAATAATAATAATAATAATAATAATAATAATAGTAATACAAATATAAAATAATAATAATACATAAAATAAATTACTTATAAAATAAATGTATAAATTAAATAATTATACTAAATAAACATATTCAATAATATAGTAAATAAGAATATTAAATATTATAAATATATGTTATTTGTATTTTAAGTAAATATTTACCAAATAAATAAATATATTAAATAATACATTAAATAACAATAATTACCAAATAAAATAATATATTAAATAGTATAATAAATAAATAAATATTTAAAAACTAAATAAATAAAAATTAAATAGTATAATAAATTTGATTTTTATATTACATAAATATTTACCAAACAAAAAATATATTAAATAATATAATAAATAAATATGTAAATAATATAATAAATATTACCCATAGAATTAAATATATTAAATACTATAATAAATAAATATGTAAACAATATAATAAATAATAATATTTACTAAATTAATTTTGAAACAATACTTAAATAGTAATATAAAATATAATAAATAATAATATTAAATAATTTATTTAATAATATTAAATATTAATACAATTTTAAATAATTTTCATTTATATAATTTTTAATTAAATAAACTAAATAATATTTATTTAATAAATTATTTAATTTTTATTTAAGAATTTTAAATAATATATTAAAGATATATTTATTAATATTTAATATTATTAAATAGTATAGTAATAATTAATCTTTATTTAGTAAATATTATTTACTTAAATTATATATTTATTTATTTATAGTAAATTAATATTATTTAAAACAAATTATTTACTAAATATTATTTTAGTAAATAAATTTTATTCAATATACTAAATCAATTTATTATATTTATTTATTTGGTAAATATTATTATTTGTTATATTATTTAATATATATTATTTTGGTAAATATTATTACTATTATATTATTTAGTATGTTTATTTATTAGTATTATTTAATAAATTTATTTAGTATTTGATAGATGTATATATTTAGCAAAGATTTGTTTATTTCTTATATTATTTAATATATTTATTTATTGGATCAATATTTATTTAATACACAAATAAAAATTAATTATATTATTAAATATATTATTTATTACATTATTTAATATATTTTATTATTTAGTAAATATTTTGAATATAGAAATAAAATTTAATCATATTATTTATTATATTTATTTTATATATGTTATTATATTATTTAATTTACATATTTATTTAGTAAATAATTATTTATTTATTATACTATTTAGTTTATTATTTATTTGGTAAATATTATACATTATATTATTGAATGTATTTATTCTTTTGGTAAGTAATATTATTTATTATATTAATATATTTATTTATTTGTTAAATTTTATTATTTATTATATTATTTATTTTATTCATTTCTTTTATAAATATTTATTTAATATTAAAATTAATTTAATTAAATACGTTAAATATTTATTTAGAAAATAATTAAATACTATTTATTTACTATAAAAAAATTATTAAAATATAAAAGTAGTACAAATTGAATAATATAAATTAGATAAAACGATATTGGTAGATATATAATTGAAGTTAAATAGTTAACAAATTTTGTGCTAGCTTAAGTGGTCCATGAGATCTTTTACTCCCCTATTGGACATGGGTTCGAATCCCCTTGACAACATATTTTTTACAATTATGTCATATAATCGCCACCTAAGCATACAACTCAGCAAAAAAAAAAAAAAAATGAGCGCATTTCCACGTAGGCGTAGCAGGTCACTGTGACCTGCTGTTGGCGGTCAGAGGACCAAAAAACTAATTTTTTTTTTTTTCAGTTAGGTGACTATTTCTAAAAAGGTCCATTTACGGGACCAAATTGAAAACGGCCTGCAGATAAAGGACCAAAAAACTTTTTTTTCCAGAAAAAAAGAGTAAAAATATAGAAATTGCAATTATGTTCCAAAATATATCAAGAGTAGTCTCTATTTATAGAGAATAAAAAATAAATTTTTATATATTTTTTTCATATAAATTAATATCAATAATTTGAGTTACAATTGTCTTATTATAGAAAAAATTTATAAACCAATAAGAATAGGACACTTGTCCCATTTCACTCACCTCATTTCTCTCTCCCTCCTTGTGGCTAGGTTGCGATCCAGGGTCACAATTTGGATTTTATTATTTCAATCAAAAAAAAAAAATTAACTGGACA